AAGATGGCCCTCAACCTTAAGAGCAAAGCCGTTCTGTAAATGGCACAGCTGGCTAATTAAACATGGATTTGAGCTTGAGAATTATTTGGTAGGATAAATTTGCTTTCTTTACTTTAAGAGAATGGTTGAGCAAAATCCTCTGCCTCTCTCCTACTGAGAAACTGGTATTAAAACAAGTTGCAAAATCATGATGATGCCTGTTTCTAGGGCCAACTGTAAATGGCAGAAGACCTTCCTAAGGTGATCCAGAAAAGGAGAGTATACTTTTCCTCTCACCACTATCTGAAGGATCCAGGTGTTCATTTTATATTCCCCTGACTTACAAATAATGACCAATTTTTCAGTACAGCATTGTGTTATTTTGAATTAAGGACAACTGTCCAGCCACTGCCTTCTTAAAATTTCTGGTTTAAAGAATTTGCTATGGACTAGCTACCCTTCCCTTTAAAAAAAAACAAACACTCAACACACACACACACTTTCTGCTTCTGTCCAATTATGAAACACATTTTGCCTAATTATAGGACAAATACATATTTTTCTTTGAAAAAGAACATTCACAATCTAGATTTCAAACAGGCATTGATGCTACAGTTCTAGATGCAGCACAAATAGAATTAGATGCTTTCAAAAGGACTGAAAGAAAAAGAGCATCCAAAAGAAGATGTACCCATTTCTTTCAAATCTACAATGATCTTGCAATGCTACTATATTTGGCCTAAAGACCATGGAAGCCTGTTCCCAAGTCTTTTTAAACTGTTCTTACTTTTTTCTCATGGGATCTTTTACTATACCCATGTCTTCATATACTAAATACCCTATTTCGGTTATTTTAGAAAATGGGACATCAATCTAACAAACCTTGTCTAACCTTTTTGAGTCCTCCTAAGAGAAAGGGTATATATAATTAAACAACTTGAGCATAAAAAGGTTCCTGTCTGGAGAAAACTCTATGTCCTTCCATGTTGAAATTCCCTTGATTAAAACCTTTAAAATATTTAATATATAATGGTCACCCACTTTTGTGGGGAAAAAAAAAAAAAAAAAAAAAAATATAGCATATACAATTGCTACACAAGCCATATTCTAACTTAAAGTGGAACTTCACTCTCTTAATCAAGTGGCTAATTTGAATCCTTATGCTGCCAGCATTAGTAAATAGATAGGAAAGTATATTATATTTACTTGTTTTAAACTGCTTTTATATTTTCTTTAGTTAATTCCTAGTTTCCATCCTTAGGCAAAATGATGTCATACATTCCAGGAGTCTTCAGAAGGGGAGGAGAGGTTTTTCTCAACTAAGCACACCGTTCTGCCTAAGCTAAAGGCAGATGGATTCAAAGAAGTTATTGCTAAATGAATCATCTGCCCTTACTCAAGATAGCAATGGCCAGAAATGCTAGGGAGTATTATCATAAGTGAATTCTTAGCTGATCACATCGTAAAGAGTCAACGTGATTGGCTCTTTAACCTAATCGGTGATGCACTGTGTCTGAGGGACACAGCTCACCACCGATCACTGCACTGCATACCCCCAAGGGCGCGCTTGTGCGGCAAGAATGGGAGGGAATCATAGGACGTCCTCCCAGAACATGATCAATCATCATTGTACAATGGACGGGCAGGAATTAGTTAATAAAAAAGTCACTCCCATTCAGATTCACTCTACACATAATAAATAGCTGTTTCTTCAGTACAACTCTGTGACAAAGTTTGTTAAAATCCTTGCAATGCACATTGATCACCCAGAGGGATTGTTTTTTCTTAACAAAAGTGGAGGTACTCTTTAAGCAATTTGACTGTACCCTGAGCTGAGAAATGTAATGTGTCTTTCCTCAAACCATTTTTTCTCTCTGCAAATCCCAACAACCCCTAACCTCTTAAGTAAATATGAATAATTAAAATATATAAACAATATATAACCAATAAACAAATTATAAAATAAATAAATAAAATATATACAAAAGTCCAAAATAAAGTGTCCAAAATATCCAGATAGTCCTCCAAAATATTTTAATTCAGTGTGTCCAACTTATTTCTCCATTCCAAACCACGTAATACCTCGAGAAAAAATACCTAAAATAGTGTATTACCTTCAAAATTAATTGTATATACCTTTAAACCAAAATAAGTATATACTTAAATCGGTGCAAAATAAACATGTGTAAAATACAAATAACCAGATTCAACTGTGAATGACACATGAATCATGCAATAAAATCACTCTGTGTACACTCCATTAAACGTGAAAAATTATGTACACTCAAATACCAAAAAAAAAAAAATAATATATATATATATATATATATATATATATATATATATATATATATATATATATATATATATATATATATATATATATATATATATATATATATATATCTCTTACATTTGGGGTTAAATATGTACAGCATAACTTTCTGGCCAGTCTCAGCAGTCTACATGGCTTCAAGCCACGTTTTCCAGTTTTCAAAATGGCCGCGCCGTTACTTCCGGTTTTGCGTATGACGTCAGACGCCATGTCCCCTGACGAGTTTCGTCACTTCCAGACTTCTTCTGAAGGGATCCAGACTTCTGAGAGGTGGCTCCTTTTATCCTGACCCGTATTACTGGCAGGAAACTTAAGCCGCCATCTTTAATACAGACAACCACCGCAAACGAACATAATCTCATGCTTATTTAAACCGGCAGGAACAAATGACTTAAAACAGTTAGATATACATTATAAACATACATGTATATCTAACTGTTTTAAGTCAATATACAATTAAATTTTGAAGGTAATACACTATTTTAGGTATTTTTTCCTCGAGGTATTACGTGGTTTGGAATGGAGAAATAAGTTGGACACACTGAGTTAAAATATTTTGGAGGACCATCTATATTTGGATAATTTTTGGACACTAATTTTTGGACTTTTGTATAGATTTTATTTATTTTTATTTTTTATAAATTTGTTTATTGGTTATATACGGTTTATAGATTTTAATTTTATTTATTCATATTTACTTAAGAGGTTAGGGGTTGTTGGGATTCACAGAGAGAAAAGGTTTGAGTATTTATTTTACTTTCTAGGGTGAAAGTGTGACTTTTCTTTGGGGGTTGTTATATTGCAAAATTCACTTATTGATTTAATGTGTCTTTCCTATTTCTCAGGCCTAAATTTCGCCTCATCTTCAATCCCTTCAAGGAGATCCTCTAGGGAGACAAATATTACTTCATCTTTCTCATTCCTCAAGAATCTTAGGTTAAAGATTGAGGCTTATGGCTCCAAAACTGATTACATAGCAAATGCCTTAGACTTCTTTCACATAGGCAAATACTTGTTTGTCCCATGCAGCGCCATGTTTTGCTGGCACGGAGATGCACAGGTGTTGTGTGCATCTCCATGCCGGCTGTCCCACAGATGTCTATTGGGACACGCAGCTGCACAGACACAGCTGCTGTGTCCCAATGTGACATCTGTGTGGCTGCACATCCCCAAATGCACCCAGGGGGAGATCGGGGACATGCAACTGCACCCACACGGATGTCACATTGAGATATAGCAGTGGTGTCCGTGCAGTTTCTTGTCCCAATAGACATCTATGGGACTGCCGCCACAGGGATGCACGTAATACCAGTGTATCCCCGTAAGGGCAAAATAGGGCCCTGCATGGGGCATCCAAGTATTCGTCTGTGTGAATAAGGCTTTAAAAGTCATCCGAATTTCTGTCTTGTAAAAATGATGGTTATGATTATGGTTTGTAGCATAGACAAGAGTGTTTCTCCATTAATATTTTCTACTGTACATTTAGTGCATAAGGCTACATTCACACCACAGATTTAGGTTGAAGTGAATTGTAGCAGCAGGAATATTCTGGTTCCTGCTGCGGCTCTGACTGGCTAGGTGTGACCGCTAGCCCTGTCCACTATAACAGGACACTGGTGGCCACAGGTATTTGCGACTGTCTGCACAGCCAGCGATCTGTCATAGTGAACAGGGCCGATGGCTGTAGCTAGAGCCGCAGCAGGATTCAGAAGATTCCTGCCTCTAGGATTTGCACCGGTCCAAACAACCAGTGTGAATGTAGCCTTTAAGTTGTCTTTATGGAAAACTAGAATTTGTTTTGTACACAGCACATCTATGCAAAGACCACCACTCACACCTGGCCAGAAGTATCCCCTGCTACAACCACATCTCTACAGACTGCTGCATCTCTAGGAGTCCAAAGTTCAGATGAATGGCACTAGGCTCAACTAAAAATGTATCCAGCCAACTGCACAGTCCCACCACCTGACCTTACACCCTCTCTCTGTCAGCATGCTAACTTTTCCTAACACAGTTGTATATGAAGGGAAGGTCAGGTCACAGAATTCTAAAAACAGAACTTTACCCTACTCACCCACTTTCTGTCATTCTACTCCTACCCATTTCCTATTTCACAATTTTTTTTTTTTTTTAACTTTTGAGGAACATGATCGTGAAATTGTCATTCAAAGTGAGATAGCACTGAAAGCTGAAAATTGGCCTGGGCAGGAAGGGGTATACTCTAAGTGCCCGGTAGGCAAGTGGTTAAGAAAGCTCTGTTAAGTTATGCCCATGTACATCTACCTGCTTCAAGCATTCGATGGACAGCCGGAAGGAGGGCCAGCTACAGCGGCACAAAGCTTGGCTGTGTCAACCTAAGTAGTCCAGCAAGAGCATGTGACCATGGACCTCCTGCACCTGGAGTCAAATTTACTGTATCTCTGCTTCTGACATCTCCCCAGGATTGTACCCATACCTGGGTTACCTTTTAGGAGCTTCCATGTAAGAGAAAGTAGTGGCAAAATACAAAACTGAGGCACTACAGGAGGAGTTACATTTTATACTCTTCCATTACTGCACCATTCAAGTAGGTATCCCAATCTCTCATTCACGTACTGCCAGGTAATACATAGAGAAATCTCAATTCTTCATCGCTGTCTAAAGAAACAAGTTCGCATACTAGCAATTTGTATTGTAAATTACTTACCACAACGACTGGAAGGATCACCATAAAAGCCAGGCCATATACAAGCAAAACCTAAAATAAAATGATATGGTATTATCCTATGCTGCACAAACTCATGAAGAATCACTACTACAGTTTAAAACAAGAGTCAAAATCCATAGAATGGCATTTAAGCACAATATAAATTTAGTTCATAAACGGTACTTATAATAAACTATAATCCAAAAAACAAAATCACACTAGAATTTAGTTTACACTAATTATGCTAGATGGGATTTTTATTACATAGCAAGAGATAAATTAAAAATTATTCAACTTGTAATTACCAGCATAGAATTCTTCTGGTCCACAATCCAGGCAGGCAGTGCAATGCCAAAATTCGTAGCTTTCAAAGAATAAATAAATACAAATTGCATAAGTATTCAGATATTTATACTGTATAAAAACAGAACTCCTAAAACAAAGTAAAATTTTAAACTTAAATATGCTTATATAATATAGAATTTATTTCACAACTAAAAGGATGGTAGAATATTACAGAAAACAAAAAGTATTGTAATTTACCCTGTGGCCCATCAGGATTTCCATATTCTTCCCAATTTTTTCTTGATTGTTCATCTGTCAAACTACAAAACAGCAAAGTATTCATACAAGTTAAATATATTACACTACAGATGTCAAGATACCAAGGGGAATATTTATAAAAAAAGTGGATCTGACATTCAGCAAACATTCAGTGCTGGTGACTCTTCCAGGTGTATGTGTTCTAACCCCTATTCTACGAAGGTATATTTATAAACGTTCAGTATTCAAGGGATTAAAACAAGCACAGAGCTGAGACCGGCTTTCATGTAACAGTGATGTAGGCAGCTGTAGAGCCATCTGATCACTTTTCTGGTACAGGGAATGTGACTGTACCCACGGTGGTTCCCAAGCTCTCCCATTTTTCCAGGACCATGGTAAATACTGAATGCCTGAATACCTGCAGTGAAATGCAGAGGTAAGATTAAGGGTCTAGACTCCAAAAAGCAAACCATGCTTTTAATAGAAATAAAGTTAAATGGAAATAAAGTATTTTAAAATTTAATAAAATATATTTTAAAAAAAAATCTAAAAGCAAGCACATCACCCCCATGCCAAAAACCCCAATGTAAACTTGCGCCTATTTATGTAAACAGCAATTGTTCCACATGTGTCAGGTATCGCCACAAATACATATTGTAGTGAGAGCAATTCACGATAAAAACTCTAAACTAATAATCTGTAAAGGCTTTTCAAATATCACCCATGAACAATTTTGGGTACTGTACTTTTTGCCATTCCATGGGCACTTGCAATTTTAAAAGGCTTGACATGTTTAGTATCTATTTACGCAACACAACTATGCAAATATGCATTTGATAAAGAGTCCCACAAATATCTTAAAACACAAAACATTGCAACTGTTACCATATATTTTATAAGATATATAATTTTGGAGGGCTTTAAAGTATTACTCAAGCAAATGAATGTGAAAGCAGCTGTCTAGGTTAGTTAGCCATAGAAGTCAAAATCTCACTTCAATGTCCGAAGCTAAACAAAGATTGTTAAAAGGATAAACTTGCTGTCATCAGCAGGACTGCATTTCAATCGTTGGAGCCAGTAAGCATCCAAAACCTTACCTGTCTACTAGTATTACTTCTTTTACAGAGAACCATTTTTTTTTTTTTAACTGGTCTTTACCTGCTTCAGAATACTGTAAATAAGTGTAAAGAAACACATGAGGTGACTGACAATAAGAAAACATTTGCGGCCATGATAACTTTGTTTATGCCACATAGTTTACAGACCTACTAAATGATGTATCCAACCCTAGCTATGGGCTTCTTTACCTCTAGGTATGGAGCTCAACAAATGAACAAAACCAGTGGCTTGAAATACTCACGCTGCATAAGCCTTTGCTATCCTCATGAACATGACTTCATCTCCTCCTTTATCAGGGTGAAATTTTAGGGACAGTAAACGGTATTGTTTCTTAATTTCTGACACTGTTGCTCCCTGAAAAAAGAAAAAAAAATTACACAAAAACTTTAAACTTTTGTGCAATTTAATTCAACAAAAAGGCATGCATATGTTTCCTGCTGTACTATTTCGAATTTCAGTGTGTGGCCTTCCCTGTTTGACAGAAATTGATCGATAGATCCACATTTGTCAAATAGACAAGTTGTAAAACTGTTGTCAATCAGCACCTGCAGTCGAGAATCAGTGTATTCTGAGAGCGCTGGGTCTCACTGCCAGAATACAATGTCCCAGCTGGGCTGAATGAAAAATAGCTACTCATCTATGGCCAGCTTTAGCCACAAGCACAGACTCCACGTTAGAAATTTTGTTACTCCTATTTTCACATCAGAGTTTCTGGTGATGTAATAAGTGTGTTTCCCACATATAGAAATAATCTACAGAATTATCAGCAGGATTTGCATACCAGACATGAACTGAAAGCATAGGTCAAATTATATATGTACTATGTAGAAAATTCTGACATTCCTGTATTGTCCATATCTTGTAGTACAGTACAGCACAGCACACATAGTTACATAGTCTGGCTGAAAAAAGACAAAAGTCCATCCAGTTCAACCATTAAAAAAAAAAAAAAAAAAAAGTTATAATCCTATACCCACAGTTGATCCAGAGGAAGAAAAAAAAAACCCAGCAAAGCATGATCCAATTTGCGCCTGCTGGGGAAAATATTCCTTCCTGATCCCCAGAAAGGCAATCGGATATTCCCTGGATCAACTTTACCTGTAAATAGTATCCAGTTACTTTCTGTGTATCCAAGAAACAATCCAGGCCTTATTAAAGCAATCCACTGAGCTGGCCAGAACCAACTCTTGAGGGAGTCTATTCCACATTTTCACAGCTCGCACTGCGAAGAAACTTTCTCTGGAGATTAAATTTCTTTTCCTCCAGACGTAAAGAGTGCCCCCTTGTCCTCTGTGATGACCTCAGGGTGAATAACTCTACACCGAGTTCACTATATGAACCACTGATGTATTTATACATGTTGATCATATCTCCCTTAATCTCCTCTTCTTGAGAATAAATTCAGTTCCTCTAATCCTTCGTCATAGCTGAGCTCCTCCATGCCTCGTATCAGTTTGGTTGCCCTTCTCTGTACTTTCTCCAGTTCCCCAATGTTATTTTTATGAATTGGTGCCCAAAATTAAACTGCATATTCTTACGAATGATCAGGGGAACTGTTGTCACATATCATGTGTTATATGCGAACAGAGAAGAAGATGGTGCTGCGCTAATCTAATCTATATACCTCAACAAAGAAAGGTGGGAAAGATAAATACCCACAAGTACACTGTCAAATGTGAAAAAAACAGCACAAAACAAACACGTCCTCAACTAAATGTGATGGACCCAAACAGAAATGTGCTATAGTGGTGCTATAAATAAAATGAACATATAGGAAAATGCAAAAAGTGAAGACCATAAAAGGTATCAGTGGAACCGTGACACAAAAAATGTGATAACGTGTATAACCATCTAGCGGCACTTGAAACATAAAACCCAAATGTGATGCATAAAAGTGAATATATCATAAATATGCATGAGAAAAATAATGAATACCAACACAGAGGCACACGTGACTAGTCATGCCAAAAATGAATAGTATACATGTGAAAAATGGTAAATGCAAACACAAAAGGACACGTCTTTAATGATGCCACAAAAAATAGTGTAAAGTCCACAAAAACACCTGCGTGCAAAGTCCAATAATAAATTCTCATGTAAAACTTGATAGGTGATAGTAAAGGTGATCAACTTGATAAATTATCCACCACCGGCTAAAATGCCTCCTTACCTCCATTCTGCGACCCCTAAGGGCCAACACACTTCAAAGGCGCTCAATACCAAAAAGGTCAAAATCCCATGGGGGCCTTACGCAATATTCCAGGAACCATCAGCAACAGTGGTGGTATTCCCCTCCTAGTGAAAATGCATCAGACAGCCTCTCAACCGATCCCAATAAAGAGGAGAGAAAGAAGCACTTTCATGGGTGTAGCAAGATGACGGCTGCCGTCCACACCGGAACTGACGTTACCATGCTTCCGTCCTACGCGTTACGTCACGGGTCACGTGACTTCCTCATGGCCATTCCCACATTTTGCCGTTTTTTTTTTTTTTTTTTTGCAACTGACGGTGGTATTCATGCAAGATAGGTGTACACCATGGCTGTGCATCTAGCTCTTACTATTTTTATCTATTTAAAAGGAAACTTGTTACCTGGGTAAAGCTAAGGGAACTAAGAAAGAAACTAAAAGCAGGAGGCTATGATTTTTTTTTTCTTTCTCCAACTGAATAGGGATTGTTTAGTATGACAATGTGGCATCTTCTGTTTCCCCCCATCCCCCAACCTGTTTTTCTGCCTAATACAGACAGAAAATAGTAGAAGGGTACTGCTCAACTCTGACTTCTGAACTGGGAATTTGTATTTCCATGCAAAGTATCCTGGGTACAGAGGCTTCTGGACACCATTCCAAGATCAAACATTTCACAGGCACTGCCAGGTGTTTCCTTTAACTTGGAATAAATAGCACACTTTAATGGTTAGTTCACCTTTAGCAAAAAGCTGTCTATGACGAAAAGGAGCATGTGGATAAAAACAAAACTGTGCAGATTTGACTAAAGTTGGATAAATCCCCTTAGCTATACGTGTAGACCTTTTTCTTACCTCTGCAAGCCTGAATGAAAAACTCCCAGAGATTACATCATCCTGTCCTGCCTTGTTGCTAGGACGTTGCTAAGACAATGGGGGCAGTTACTGTTCATCCCTATCATCACAGGAGCAAGCTCTCAAGCCTCCGCACATGTGTGGCTCACTATCTCCTCCATCTTAGTATCACTGACCTCAGAGCTAGAGGGAAACAAGATGCATGCAAGGGAGTTTGAATTGGCTGGGAGTGTATTAGCAACAAGGCAGGACAGGATGATGCCATCTCTAAAAACAGATCGCGCCCGCTTCTTTTTCCAAAAGTAGATCGCGCCCGCTTCTTTTTCCAAAAGTAGATCGCGCCCGCTTCTTTTTCCAAAAGTAGATCGCGCCGCTTCTTTTTCCAAAAGTAGATCGCGCCCGCTTCTTTTTCCAAAAGTAGATCGCGCCCGCTTCTTTTTCCAAAAGTAGATCGCGCCCGCTTCTTTTTCCAAAAGTAGATCGCGCCTGCTTCTTTTTCCAAAAGTAGATCGCGCCGGCTTCTTTTTCCAAAAGTAGATCGCGCCTGCTTCTTTTTCTAAAAGTAGATCGCGCCTGCTTCTTTTTCTAAAAGTAGATCGCGCCTGCTTCTTTTTCTAAAAATAGATCGCACCTGCTCGATCTAAAAATGCATCGCACCTGCTTGTTCCATACAGTGGGGAAAATTATTATTTGATTGCCTGCAGATTTTGTAAGTTTGCCAATTTACAAGGAAATAAAGGGTCTATAATTTTTATCATAGGTGTATTTTAAACAATAGAAACAGAATATCAACCAAAAATCCAGGAAAAAAAACACGATACAAATGTTATAAATTGAGTTGCAGTTCAGTGAGTAAAATAAGTATTTGATCCCCAAGCAAAACATGACTTGGTACTTGGTGGAGAAACCCTTGCTGGCAATCATAGAGGTAAGACGTTTCTTATAGTTGGTTACCAGGTTTGCGCACACATCTCAGGAGGGATTTTGGTCCACTCTTTACAGATCTTCTCTAAATCTTTAGGGTTTCTTGCCTGCCGATCAAACAGCCTTTTTACAAAATGCGGAGAATTAACCCATAAGTTCCACAGTGAGTATTAATAACCATGCTTTATTGCATATACAGTGATTTTACCATTGTGGATTTAGTAACACTTTTAGGTCTGGAGACTGGCTAGGCCACTCCATGACATTAATATGCTGCTTCTTGAGTCACTCCTTTGTTGCCTTGGTGGTATGTTTTGGGTCATTGTCATGCTGGAAAACCCATTCACGACCCATCCTCAGTGTTCTGACTGAGGGAAGAAGCTTCTCATCCAAGATTTTACAAGGCATGGCCCTGTCCATTGCCCCCTCAATGTGGCAAGGTTGGCCTGTACCCTTAGAAGAGAAACAGCCCCAAAGCATAATATTTCCACCTCCATGTTTGACTTTCTCCCAATCCTTCTCTGAATCATTTAGATGTTCATTGACAAACTTCAGACTGGCCTGTACATGTGCCTTTTTGAGGAGGGGGACCTTGCGGGTGCTGCAAGATTTAAATTCATGGAAGCATATTTTGTTACCAATGGTTTGTTTGGTGACTGTGTTCCCAACTGCCTTATGATCACAAGTTCCTTCCGTGTAGTTCTGGGCCGATTCCTCACTTTTCTCATAATCATCCTTACTCCATGAGGCAAAAACTTGCATTGAGCTCCAGACCGAGGGCGATTGATGGTTATTTTGTATTTCTTCCATTTGCAAATAATCACTCCAACAGTTGCCTTCTTCTCACCAAGCTTCTTGCTGATGGTTTTGCAGCCTATTCCAGCCTTGTGTGTCTACAATCTTGTCCCTGATGTCCTTTGACAGCTCTTTGGTCTTGCCCATGAGGTTTGAATGGAGGAAAGATTCTGTGGACAGTAGTCTTTTAAGCACATAACAAGTTAACAATTAAGTTAAATTGACAGCACTAATCTGTGTACCACATGAGCACATAGCCAGCCTGTTGGAGCCAGAATTATTGTTGGTCGGTAGGGGATCAAATACTTATTTTACTTACTGAACTGCAACTCCATTTAAAACATTTGAATCATGTACTTTTTCTGGATTTTTGGTTGATACTCTTGTCTCTGTCATTTAAAATACACCTATGATAAAAATTATAGATCCTTCATTTCTTTGTAAGTGGGCAAACTTACAAAATCTGCAGGGGATCAAATAATTATTTTCCCCACTGTATATAGATTGCACTTGTTCTATATATAGATTGCACCTGCTTGTTCTACAAGTAGAATGCACCTGCTTGTTCTATAAATAAACTGCACCCAGGTGTTTC